CCCGGTGGCGGTGGCGGGACCGTGGCGCCAGTTGAGCTCCCGGTGGCGGTGGCGGGACCGTGGCGCCAGTTGAGCTCCCGGTGGCGGTGGCGGGAGCGTGGCGCCAGTTGAGCTCCCGGTAGGCGGTGGCGGGAGCGTGGCGCCAGTTGAGCTCCCGGTGGCGGTGGCGGTCCAGGGCCCTCTGCCGCAGTGGCGACAGTGAGGTCAGAGACGTCACCCGAGTTGTTCCCGCATCCCTGGGGCCGACCGGCCTGTGCCGCTCAGTACTGGTGACAAAAATGCCAGAAACGGCCCAGCCGGCTGCCCACAAACCAGCGATGGGCACCTGATGACGGCTGGCCCCGGTCATCAGCCCTGGGAACACTAGGAACGGTTAAAAGTCAGCGGTCCGCGAGAGGGACCTGATGGCAGGGGGAGGGCAGGAGCCCGTGGGCTCCAAGCAGAAAAGGATGGAAACGGAGGTACCGAGAACGTTTCCCCGAGGGATGCACTGTCCCCCAAGCCCATCTGAGCTGCCCGGCGCGCTGCAAAGGGAGGTGGCACAGGGAGGGTGAGGTTTGGGGTTTCGTGCGGGGACAGCCCCAGGCCCTGGCAGTACCGGGGCACGGTGGCTGAGGTGGGAGCGGGCTGTGCCCGGTCAAAGCTGGGGGCAAACCGAGCAGCCGGGCAGGGATGCCACAGCCGGAGGTCCTTCTGAGCGCAGGCCCCAGCAGAAGGTGCAGAGGCCGACGAGAAGGGTTATGGGGAGAAGATCGCTGCCGGGTTTGGCTGGGGGCCAGAAGAGAGCCGGGATGCCCTGCGGCCCGAGCGTGAGGGGCGGTGGCGAATATGCGGGGCTGCGGTGTGTCCAGCGGGCGAGCCGTGCGTTTGTGCTGGGCACGTGTCACCGCCGGGCCGGCGCTGCGCGACACGGACACGGTGTGTCCGGGGCTGATACACATCCATCGGGTCAGCGGAGCCCCGGCCTGGCAGGGGCAGCCACTGCGCCCCACACAGCGGTGACGGGGCGGCGGGAGGCACCGAGCCCGGGACCGACTGCACCGTGAGCTCCGACCGCCGCCCGCCCCGGCCCGAGCGGCGCCCTGAGCTCCGAGCGGCGCCCTGAGCTCCGAGCACAGGCCCCGCCCCATTGGCCGCACAGGCCCCGCCCCATTGGCCGGCACAGGCCCCGCCCCATTGGCCGGCACAGGCCCCGCCCCATTGGCCGGCACAGGCCCCGCCCCATTGGCCGGCACAGACCCCGCCCCATTGGCCGGCACAGGCCCCGCCCCATTGGCCGCGTGACGCGGTGCCCAATCGGGAGCTGCCACACGGCAGATCCGGATGTGGGGGCGGAACTTCCGGCTGCGGCCCCGCCGCTCCTTCAGCTGCCGCGCCCGGACCCGCCGCTCCCGGAGCCATCGGACCCATCGGACCCGCCGCTCCCGCCGCTGCCCCCGCTCCCGCCGTTATGTCCGCGCCCCGGGCCCCGCCGCGGGCCCTGCCCGCCGCTCTGCTGCTGTTTGTGCTGCTCGCCCTGGGCGCTCGTGCCTCGGACGTGGTGGAGCTCAGCGATGCCGATTTCGAGAGTGGCCTGGCCGAGCGCCCGGGGCTGGTGCTCGTGGAGTTCTTCGCGCCTTGGTGAGGGTCGCTCGGGGCGGGGGGGCTCCGGGTCCGCGGCGGGCCCAGGCGGGACCGGGCCGGCCTGACTCCCTTCCGTCCCCCCAGGTGCGGGCACTGCAAGCGCTTGGCGCCGGAGTACGAGTCGGCCGCCACCCGGCTGAAGGGGATTGTGCCGCTGGTGAAGGTGAGCATGGGCTCCCGCGGCGGGACGGGTGTGGGAGAGGCCAGCGATCGGCCTCCTGCTCTGYGGGTCTTACAGGCGTCGCCTCTTTGATATTTTGGAGCCCTGAAATAATCTGGAAGCCGAGCCTTGCAGGGCCACAGCCGCGCAGCTGGTGTGCAGAGGGGTGTGCCAGGGAAATAGGTCTGCTCTGAGCTGGGTGATGAGGCTGAGAGYGAGCACTATGCTGCGTGTACCCACTGAGCCTTGCTTACCAGGAGCTCTCTTATCTGCCACAAGACTTGCAGAGTTTTCTCAAATCAAAGTCTCTTTCTCTCTTTACCGGAAGCGGCATGGATTCCTGGTACCATGGCATCCTGCTTAGATCAGCTTGTTTTCTTCAGTGAAATTTAASAGTGATGATGTGCTCAGAAATTCCTTTTTATTGCATGCAAGAAACTATTGTTTCTGGGGTTTTTTTGTGTGTACTCTGGTCAAACTTGTAGCTACTTAGTTTTTTCCAGTATTTTCTTGTATTTTTCTGGGCTAGTCATTATACGTGTGCTACCTTTTTTTCCAGTAGTCTGGGCTGTCCAGCACCCGGCACTGTGTCCTTGGCAGGGTTGGGTGTGTTAGGGGTGGATTGCCGTCTGAGTAGCAAGTGGTTTTTTTTCTGTAGGTTGATTGTACAGCAAACTCAAACACCTGTAACAAGTATGGAGTCAGTGGATATCCCACATTAAAGATTTTCCGAGATGGAGAAGAGGCAGGGACCTATGATGGGCCCAGGACAGCAGGTAAGAGCTTGTTGGCAGCATCTGGCTTGCTGAACTGCTGCAGRAGGCAGGCCAGCATGGAGCAGCCTAGTGTCCAGACATGTGGAGAAGGTTCCCACCTACACAAACACCCTGCTACCCCTTACCCTTTCCAGAAATCTTTGTGTTAGCAAAGCCAGAGATGTTTATTTTYTGTCAAACCCCTCCTTTAAAGGTGAGGGTTTCCACATTAGGTCCTAGTTCTCAGGATGCTAGAAAGTTCCTGTGTGAAGCTGATGGGAGCAGTCCTTCTGTTCACATATTTATTGTATGGGAGATGTGTATGGATTCTGCAGAAACAATTTTTGTTCTAGGAAGCTTGAAAAATAACTTGTGGAACTTGGTATTGATCCCTTTAATTGTTTTGCAAATCTTTTAAGATGGGATTGTCAGCCATCTCAAGAAACAGGCGGGACCTGCTTCGGTGGCTCTCAGTTCTGTGGCTGAGTTTG